AAGTTCCAACAAGCCAAATTCTATTATTTTCACAGGATTCGGAAATCGACCCACCTCCAGAACAAATACCTAGTCAGACGTTCACAAACCAAACCTTCGGCCCCCCTCATCCAGTACCGATGCCTCAGCACTTCGCACCGATGCCCAACAATCTGGCTAACCATCAGGTGGCGCAATTACCTCCGATGGGAAACAACGGCCTCGACGACAACCTCATCCAGCCCGAAGACCCGATTCAGCACGTCAAAGACACAGCCAACAGGGTCCCAGCCAGGAACGCCAGCAACAACAATCCGTCGTTCTACCAGAACAATGGCTACAACAGGCCGAGACAACAACAGCAACAGAACCGCAACGGAGCCCCCCGACCTGCAAACAACAGGCATACATAGAACTCTAGACGGAAAATGGCAAAGATATCAAGTTCTCATAATGTAACGATTGATTTTTATTTAATTCATAAGTCTAAGTATTCGAGGCTTCGTTATTCGGGGTGACAAACGATTTGGTTCGACGGATCTACGTCCTAAGCCTGTTTTAGTCAGTTGTAAGCGATTTCGCTATAACAGTATCAAAGGGGGATGCCTCATGCTCTCGTCTGCAGCAACGCGACTTTGATTAGACACATTGTCAACTTGGGGCCTGCCCAACCTGCCTAATTTTCACAATTGTAATGAAAATTTGCATAATTGATATTGGGTTCAGGTCAAGGATCTTTTTTTTTATTGCTAACTCATAGTAGTGAAAAGTGAGGAAAAGTATATGGATTATAACGTCGTACGACTTTAAACCTCGGAAGGTCAAACATACTATATGTTGAAAAAAACACAAGATATTCTGTCATGTTTTTCTCTGGAAAACTTGAAGGTCACCTTGAATTTGATCTTGGTACATGGCCTTGGAAATTATTGGAAAGTCAGTCAGTTGTTGAATGGAAACTCCAAGAAAGCGTAGTTATATTGTATCGTTTCTTCTGTTTCTGCCAAGAGGCCCACCATCACTTTATCATTCAAGGTTATGCAGAAATGATTTTTGTGCTTCCTGTTCAAAACGAAAACCTTCGAAAACATTTCAAGGTCAAATCTAAGGTCGCCATCAAGTAGAGAAGAGAAGAACATGAATATCTTGTAAGTTATCTTTTTCTTGTGTTTTAGCATGGTTGACCTTCAAATGACCTTCAGAGTTACTCAATCTTAAAAGCAGTGGAAAAATTTCATGCTCTTCTCACTTTTGTGATGAAAAATTTTGGTTCCCATTTGAAATACTGGCCTTGACCTTCAAATAATTTGTTAAAGGTATTCGTTTCTATTTCACCATTTGGCAACATCGGTTATAGCTAATAAAGGACAATGAATCTGTTACCTGTATGAGACAAACAAAGATGACATATTTCAGAGGCATGCTGTTCTGTTTACTTATGTTCCGAGACATTCTGTGACATATGACATTTTGTGCACCTAACCTATCTTCCTCTATATAAATGAATAACAAAACAACTGTTATTTATGTGGCTTGTAGAGGTTTGTAGAGGTGGTATTGAACTATAATTTATACATTTGAAACGTCAATTTGAATACTTTTGGAAGTGAATTTGAAAAACTCAACTTTATTTTGTTCAAACTTGCATTTGCTGTAATAACCCAAATTGAGGAACATTCCCCATTAGTAAATTCAAACAGAAAAGTGAAATTGTTGAATTTATAAATGAATTGAGGTAGAAAGTATAGGCATCAAACCTTTTTTCATGCCAAGAAGGGTAGTGGAGAAAAAATTAAACAAAAGAAAATTGTACGTGGAAAATAAAATGGTACGAATTATACAAACTCGTTAAAAAATGGGATTTTCTAAAACATGAATCATGATGTACTCAGTTGAAAAAAAATTGGTGAATTTTCATTTTTCTCAAAAAATATTCATCAACTTCTATTTCGTCCTTTTCGGATATAATAAATACACTTGTGCTAGCGGTTTTTCCAATCCTGCACTTTTTGGTATGTCCTCGAGCTTTCTTAATGATTTGGAAGCCCATAAATCTTCTTGCCATCCAGTTGTTCAATCTTTGTTTGGCAAAGCCTAAAGCGACCTGAAGTGGTACTAAACGTTTCATTTGCAACTTCGGAATACATCATCAGTGCATTGCTTGCGGGGACGAAGGTTATATTCTGAAGTCTCAGCAACTAAGGACTGGTGGTGCGAGCTACACATAGATCTAGAGGGCGACCTGCCCTAGACAATAAAACACCAAGTTAAAATATGAATGTCTGAAAGATATATATATTACTCTTTACAAAATTATAATTAGACCATAAAGACAACGAAAAATATAAAGAAAAATATCAGAACGGCAAAAATTTTAATCATCAACCAACGATTCGATGAGACTGAGTTGAAATATTTCACGATTTGCGCATGGGCTGCTTCGATGTTCATTTCAGATTGCTCAATGTTGGTGTCTATCCGCTCCACAATTTCCCCTTGCTCCTTGACCATGTGGGCCAACTGCTGGAAAATCCCTCCAAGTTCCACTACCGTGGACTCAATACTCTGCATTGTTTCCGCCCGATCTTGCAGGTAGGTGTCGGTCTGATCATACATCAACGCTGCCTGCATTTGGTTCTGTTTTGGTATCAGGGCCGTACTCTCCAGATCTATGCTCACTTGGTCTGGCTCTTGCAGAAGGATGCTTCCTGAAACGGTCATCATATTACCTTCTGGTTCAGTCATAAGACAAAGAACTTACCTTGCGTGACTGGTGATGTGTTCGTGAGAGGGAGACCTCCTTGTGAAAATTGATCCCTTCTGTTTTTCTGGTGCCTCAGGTTCTCCGTTCTGACCTCTAATATCTGCTTGAAATCCGTAGACATGCTCGCCAGTTTCGACTGTAGTGTAAGAACTACGCTGCTGGAATGGGATTGTAAGTGCTTGCCATTAGTGGTTTGTTTTTGTTTCCTGGAAACATCTTGCAGTTGAGCAATTTGTTGGTTTAAACTGCTAAGATCGCCTTTTATTATGTAAGTCAACTCCTGGATCTCTGCCGTTCTGTCATCAAATAGAGATTTTCGTTTTGCCACTGAAATGCAACTCGTTTAGAAAGTTATTGCGATCTATGTCAAACAAAATGGTATGTCATGACTTTCAAATCAACACTTTACAACTACCTAATGAATATTACTCCATTTAATCTTCCTCTTGAAGATGACCACTTGGTGAATATTATTGGAGTTTTTTCCCAACACCTCGACACGTGTTTCGATCACCAAGTGATCATCTTCAACAGGAAGATATAAAATTATATTGGACATTCTTAACTTGAATACATTGCCAGATAAAGTACACTTAGTTCTTGGGAGAATTCAATTAAGACCATGTTCATATAGGCAAATGTGATCTCTTTGAAAAGTGGATTTGAACTATTTCTATCACTGTTCAAAAACAGTGATAGAGAAATGAAATTTCAATTCTCCATTCGAGCGGATTAAAGTTATCCAAGTCATTCTCTTGTAAATATTAATTCCTTTGCACTTACATAAAGTCAATTTCTCGAGTTTAGAATAGGTACTCGCGATATTCCTCCCAACATTTTTGGCAATGAGCATAAATTCTGAATGGCTCTGTATCACTTTCGATTTCTTCGGGTCTCGAACAGAAACTGCTCTAGCTATATTACGACCCTGTAAAGTCTGTATGGTATTAATGAATTCATTAGTTCTGTCTCTTGCAGTCATGACTGCTTCAGGCTCGACGTATTCTTCTATGAAATCTTCTTGCGAGTAGTAGTCAGCAGGAACATTATTGGGATACGTATTGTTCAAATGGTTCAACGTTTCGGGTTGAGAATGGGACCAAAATCTTTCGCCACTAACTACCGCGTGGGGCTCGCTGTCTGAGCCAGTTCGGCGTCTTCTAGGAAGCATTGCATTATTGAAATATGTTACCACATAATAGTTTTGATGAGGTGAAGTTCAGTTATATCACATATGTTGCCTTAAATTCTAAGTATGCATACTTTCCAATTACGGTAGATACTAGACTTTTTATTGCTGATACATTAATAAATATATTTATTTTGTATTATTACTAATTTCGATTAAACTTTTTTTTACAAGTTTTTGACACGTCTTTCAAAACAATCAACTGTCAACCTCTAGTGCCACTTGTCACGTCACTCACGTCACTGTCTTCTTCGTTTTATTTGGTAGGTATCGTCTAGGGCACAGAAGAATATATATATTTTCTCTGTGGCTAAGGCATAATCAAATTATTGTTAGAATAATGGTCGCTAAATAACGCTGAAACATTTTCTAATACATGAATGTCACTACCTACTTGTTAGCTAGTGACACGTTTTAAAGGTTTTGCGACTTGACACCGGGGTATCAATGTGCCTACTCCCTAGGTTTCGTCACTGGTCTCCGCAAGGGTCTCATCTTCCTAATCCCCATTGTGAAAGGCTCACTGATTATTTGTCTATGTATTGAATATTGAGTCATGCTCATGAGCTATTCCTTCAAGTATTTGACCCTATAAATGTGGGAATGTTTCAGAAGCGGGTCTTTTTGAAACAATATTTTTTATTCACATACGTGTTTCACTATACGATAGCTTCCTCAAGCGTGTTCATATTATTGATACACTGAATGTTTTGAGTTATCAAAGTACATCAAGGATTTTTTTTTAGTATCAAAGGGTCATAAAACCCGTTGAGGCTTTCTCAAGATATGTAATGAAATAAAGTGTTACTTGAATATGAACAGTAAAAATAAAGTCATTATTATACTTGGTAGTTAGTTATAGTCCCTATTCATTCATTCATTGTTTCTTGGGACAATAATCTGAATTGAATTATTAAAAAAGTTTACCTTTTATAGGTTGTAGGTTGAGTGTGGTTGTCTACAGATCAACAACTGTCTTGGGAATATAGGCATGGCCGGAGGCAAACACATGTTTTGGGCATATAGGCTTGTCTAGAGACAAACCACTGATTTTGGCATATGAGTAAAGAGGTGTTTTGGACACAAACGAACCTACGAGCTCGTCTAGAGAAAAAGATCCATTTCAATCATATGAATAACAACTGTTCTGGGTATACGAGCACTTGACAAAATATTTGCAAAAAATATGGTATGATGGTAGCCGGTCGTGGGTGGTTACCTCCACTCACTCAATCGACTGCTGTGTGAATCGGTGGTTTGAGTCGAAGGCTCGGATGATCGATTTTCACTTCCTATCGTTCAACTCGTGTTAGGAAACACACGTTAAAATGTAAAACTTCGTTGGTCCTTAGCTCGCACAAATTTAGACTTTTGAGATTTGTCGTTCGTAGGGGGGCGAAAGCTGATTAACGGATAAACAGATTCAAACAGATTATCGGTACATATCTGAGAGGTAATACTATTTAATTTCCTTATATTACCTCTGAATTAAACACTAATCAGGAAGTATATCTGAGCTAACCAGTGAAAACACGAAAACAAAAACGTGAAAACACAGGTTAGCTCATATCGCAATTATATATATTCAATAGTTATGATCACTTTCAATAAAAATTAATGACTACCTAGTTATTAGGTGAAATAACCCAGGAATATTGTTAAAATATGTGAATCAGCTTATACGATGATATATTTGACAAACAGTGTATAAAATCTAAACGAGTGTCAACATAGTTGCGATAGTTTGTTGAAATAAGCGGGTACTGGAAAACTTCTACGTCAACGTACATCACAGGTGATGTCACGTAAACTAACTGATTTTTTAGGCTTATTCTGTGGTCTAACTGTCAAGCACAGAACATACTTTCTGTATTGTCAAGTACACGTCACGTATTGTCGAGTTTGTTTTTAAATATTTATCAACTTGGAATAGAACTAAAAGGAAAAAATAAAAAATTACACTATAACGATGACTAGTTTACGCCAAAAACAAATAAGTAAGATTACTCCGTGAACTTACTTGAGACTTAATAATATCCAATCTCATTTTAGATGCTGTGAAACAAATGTTGAATTTGAATCAACCCCAAACTAAAATGAGTTCTTCAGAGCCTGTTTGGAAAATACTTGTATATGACCGAGTAGGACAAGATATAATTTCCCCTCTAATGTCGGTGAAAGAATTACGAGAGCAGGGTGTTACATTATTTGTGTAAGTCATTTTATGATGGGTTAGAGGTCTACAATTCAAACATAAATTTTCAGTCAATTGCATTCAGACAGAGATCCTATTCCTGAGGTTCCAGCTGTTTATTTTTGTGCACCGACAGAGGATAATTTGGATAGAATTAGCCAAGACTTCCAAAAAGGCGTTTATGATATATATCACCTCAATTTCATTTCGCCAATTTCTCGGCAAAAGCTGGAGGATTTGGCAACCGCCGCGATTACAGCTAATAGTGTAGCTAATATACATAAGGTAATTATTTTACGAGATCTCCTGAGCTTGAGTTTATGACACAAAATTCACATTATAAGTATAACTAAGGTGAAACTAGGAGTACCACAGGCGTTAGTTATTGGCCTTTCACTAGTTTTTCTGTATGTTAATGATTTTCCACATATTTTAAGATGGTTCATGTAACAATTTTTACTGACAATGCAACAATAACAGTAGCTGATTTGAATGCTGAATTTTTAAATGTCATAAATCAATTTTTTTCTTTGATTCCAGAGAAATACTTTCTCCTAACGAGACTTTTAATGTTGATAACAACCAATCTCTACAGATATTAAAATCCCTAGCACTCATTTGTATGAGGATTCAAATTTCAACAGACAAAAAAAATGTTTTTTGTTTAGTAGTACATTTCTGTTACTCGTTTCTAACTGAGTTCGTGATTTACCTTCCACACACTGTGTGTCGTTGTCAGTGATGATTAAATATTATTATTATTACCATACTATCAGTTCAGATTAGTTTTTTGCAGGTCTTTGATCAGTATATAAATTTCATCTCCTTGGAAGACGACTTGTTTATTTTGAAACACCAGAACAGTGACCTGATATCCTACTACAGTAAGTTTTCTGTTAACGATATGCAGGTTAGAAGTAATACTATCCTTCTTTCAGATATAAACAAAGGGGATACTAAAGATACTGAAATGGAAACCATTATGAATACCATTGTTGAAAGTTTGTTTTCAGTTTTTGTAACTTTGGGTGAGTCGAACAAATAATAATAATGTAGTACCAATTTGTTTTTGAATGGCAATACTATATTGTTGAACATTCACTTTTATCCAAAAACAAACACTTCTCCCAATCACCAGAATTCCTAGTTCCAAAACTAATCTCTATTCATTGCTAACATTCCAATACACTAAGAGATCGAATCTCGGACCACTTCTATTATTATTATTTATTAATGACCCCAGTAATTATGTCGATTGTAATAAGTTATAGTAGTTGAATATGTGCTGTGTGTTCTTTGAAACGAGTTTTAATGGCTTGCTTAGTCTGACCAATATATTTCTTGTCACAGTTACATATCTGAAGTGATCAAGAAGTTTTAATGGCTACTTTCACATTTAACTTTGTAACTTTTCAAAAGATTAGATCATATTTTCAATAAGTTGAATCAAAATTAGCCTTCAAACTTTCATTCTTGCTTTAACAAAAGTTATTTAACCCTAAAAACAAGATGTTGGAAAATGGAAAGTCGGGGATTTATGAAATAAGTTGTGAGGATTGTGACAAAAAATATGTTGGTCAGATTGAACGAGCCATTGAAAATCGTTTTGAAGAACACACAGCACATATTCATTTCGTTCAAACGTTTTGGAGAAAGGCCATAGAATAAAGTATAACTGTCTGAAATTGTTGAGTTCAGTACGTGCCACTAGATTTTTAGATGCTTTCTTAAGTGTGGAAATATCAAAATGTGCAAGATTTTCGTCAAATTTCTACCCGAAATTATTGATGTGTATTGGAAAATTACCTCTGCCTTGTAAGTGTATCATGTTAGATATAAATAGAGACTAGTTTTAGAGTTTGGTTTTAGTTTTCTTCACCTTCTGAAGACGCCAACTTAGTGATTAAACACGCTTTGAAAAGAATATTGAATTTCCGGTGAATGGGAGAAGTGCAGGTTCCAGCTTCACCTTTAATTCACTTTCATCCAAAACATTTTCAGGAAACGTCCCGATAATCCGTAGTCCAAAGGGTAATGCTGCTGAAATGGTTGCCAAAAAATTAGACAAGAAATTAAGAGAAAATCTGTTTGACGCCAGAAATAATTTATTTGTTTCTGACGCACAATCGGGAAATTTCAATTTTCAGAGGCCCCTTCTAATAATTTTAGACAGGAACGTAGACATGGCCACACCTCTGCACCACACTTGGACCTACCAAGCCTTAGCTCATGATTTGCTCGATCTGGCACTCAACAGAGTTGTCATCGAAGAGTCCACTCCCACAGGAGGTACTCCACGAAAAAATTCTTCGCAAAAGAATTTCAGTTCATTTTTTATACTTCTAGGTGCCAGGGCAAAGAATCGTGCTTGCGAACTTGATTCGAAAGACAAGTTTTGGACGACGCATAAAGGTAGCCCCTTCCCAACGGTTGCAGAGGCTATTCAAGAAGAGTTGGAACAGTACAAATCTTCGGAAGAAGAGGTGAAAAAGTTGAGGACTTCGATGGGAATCGACGGTGAAAACGACATAGCTCTGTCTATGGTGTCTGACAATACAGCAAAAATTACCTCCGCCGTGAATTCTTTGCCCCAACTGTTGGAAAAGAAAAGACTGATCGACATGCATACTTCCGTGGCAACCTGTAAGTTTAACGGTTTTGTTTTTTGCAGCGGGATCAGGATTGAGTTCTCTGTCGATTCCATAGATGGCGTCTTTGTAAAGGGAGATGTCGACTTTTACTTACTGAGGCTTGTCCTTCAAGGACAGTTGAGTCCAGCAACGCATTTGGGGTTTAGCCTAGCATCACTGATGAGACCTGTGGCGGGTCGAAACAGCGCTATATGGTGTTGAATCATGAATGCGTTGATTTTGGGCTCTGGTTTTCAACTTTTCATCAAGTTCTAATTCGGTATCTCTACATTTCTAGCTATTCTGAATTGCATAAAGTCTAGAAAACTGGACACGTTCTTTGAATTAGAGGAAAAGATCATGAGTAAAGCTCAAGCCTTGGACAAACCGCTGATGGACATCCTAACCGATCCTGGAGCCGGGACTCCGGACGATAAATTGAGATTATTCGTTATATTCTATATTTGCATGCCACACCTTTCGGACTCGGATTTGCAGAAATACGAGAATGCCTTGAACGAAGCTGGTTGTGATCTGTCTGCGCTGAACTATTTGAAAAGGTGGAAGTGAGTAGGAACATTGGCGCTCCTCGTTTGTATATGATAGCTTTCGGGTGTTTCAGGAGTTACACCAAAATGGCATCCGGAATGAATGTGAACCAGTACGAGGGTGCGGGAACTAGGACGGTCAGTATGTTTTCCAAGTTAGTGTCCCAAGGATCCAGCTTCGTTATGGAAGGAGTGAAGAATTTGGTCATCAAGCGGCATGTATGTTGGAGAAATGTATTTTTTTAATCACCAACACTTCAATTTCATCATTTCAGAATCTCCCAGTGACGAAAATAGTTGACAGTCTCATGGATTTCAAAAGCAGCCCTGAAATGGAAGAGTATCACTATTTAGACCCGAAGCAGCTGAAACTGACGGAAATACCGAGAAATAGAGCCCCGTTCCAAGAAGCCATCGTGTTTGTTGTTGGCGGAGGAAACTATATAGAATATCAAAATTTAGTTGATTACGCCAAGGTAAGAACACTTTGTTATTGCTCTGGTCATAACAATAAGTGATCTATTCATCCTCATCATTTTCTAGGCAAAAACTACAGCAGGAAATACGAAAAGAATATCTTATGGAACAACTACTCTAAATAATGCTAAACAATTTCTCAAACAGTTTTCTCTGTTGGGTCAGGAGTTATAGAAATCTAAGTATTTAGATATCGTTTGTATTATATAAATGAAAGTAATTATATTTGATATAATTCGCCAGGTGATACAATATATATTAGGCATCAATCTTGTATTTACCATTTATATATTTATATTATTGTAAAAGTCTCGCTCATGTTGAATTAAAAGTTGGAGGAAAAGGAAAATGGTGTTCAAGTAATTTATATGGGTGGGTGACTTTGGAAGGCATTCATTGGATAGCACCTTCAAGCTGACACTCAGACTCACGTTGCCTGATTGTGAATGAACGGAAAAAATATTTTTACTGCCTGTCCCGATGAGAAACATTATGTATATTCTTGTGGTGCTGGAGTGCCTTGCTGTTGAAGTGGACTGTATTTGTACCGTTATTTCTGTACTCCTATCGCTACCACTCGAATCTGTGCTGGTTCTGGTAACTAAAAATGCTGTTGCATATATTTAATGAATGTATATTTTACGGAGTTACAAAAACCAACATTTCTAACTGTCGTTGTTTGATAATCTCTGTTCTTCTGTCATCATGACAGTTGTCATAAAACATGACAGGGGCGTATCATAAGAAATTCAACACATTATATATAAACTCCTTCAAAATTTTTCAGTCTGAATAAGTTAGACGCAAAGTATCTTAGAAGAATAGGTATTTGTGTTCTTTCGGAGTTTGTACGTTTCCAATGAGAAAAATGTGGACTTTATCCAAATTCAAGGCAAATTTTTTGGAACTTAATCGAAATTACATTATTTGTTCCGAAGAACGTAGAAAAAGTGTTTATTGTCTGAAAATAAATCAAACTTTTGGATAACAATATAAAAGTTGTAATGAGATGAGAATCTTGTTCCGTTAAATTCGAATTAAAAATCGATTTCTTCTTATTTTCAATCATTTCAGAAATATTTATATTTTTCATTTTCAGTATTGCCCTCTCTCAGGCGGAAGCTGAATTAACTTTGTTTGTGTTTTTATTTTCGGTTTTGCCCTCTCTCAAGCGGAAGCTGAATCAACATTCACGTTTGTGGTCTTGAAATGTGTGAATCATAAATTTTATTGAAACTTTTTAGTCAATACAGAAGTAAGACTCAACTGAAAATGTCTTGAGATAAGAAGATTCATCCCTTCAAACATGTAAAATATTTTGTTGAAAACTCTCAACCTACTGCCAAAAAATATAAAGCCCATAGAGCTCAGAATTGGCATTTTCATGTATTCTAAAGTTCCTCCTCCCATTCACAGAGGTGCTGAATACACTTGAAAGTGACACTGCTCGACAGGGTCCAGTTGGCACTTTAATTTCCAATGTTATTTACATTTGGGAGTAAATTAGTATAAGGTGATAGATTTTTTTTAATATGGTGGTCGATAAATTAAGATCTGAACAAAATTTCGATTCCGGCGGCATCTATCAACAGGTGTACAAAGTTAGGACAATCTAATTTCTCGCGTTGCGAGTATTTGAGAAAACAATAATTAATCGGGAAAACACCAGAGTTTCTTTGTATAATTGATTGACCTTTTATCTACACAAAGATTCACTTACTGAATTCGAAACAGGAGCTAGTTTTCCTGGTTCTTGACAATTTCAAATGTTCGTTGGTTCTGCCATCTCTTAAACGAAAGCCGAACTAACTTGAACATTATTGTTCTTACTTTCAAAGTTTGAATATTTCTGATGAGAAATTGTAGATTTTACCAGATTCCAGCATGTTGTGGAAACATGCCCGGTTTAGATTATCAGATTGGAAAAGTGTGATTTTTTTCCAACTATTCCTAAACTAACTTGGTTGGCGTGTCCTTGTCCTGAAGACGCCAACTTGATTGGCGAAACACACGTCTCGACAAGAGTATTGCTTTTCTGGTGATTGGGAAAAATGTTTATTTTTAGATTCATACTACGCCAGAGGTTCCAGTTTTACTTCTTATATTGACAGGGTAAAATTTAAAACCAGTTTTGTTAACTTTAATTTACTTACATCAATTTTTATAGAAAAGTTTCATAATGGTTCTAAGTGGCTGGTCAAATATATTTTTATCAATGATCATTCACCTCTATTTACAATATCATTTCATAGAATTTGTATTAATAGTACAGGAATCTAAAAATGCCTCTGAAACATGGCAATTCCTAGTGAAATATATTTCACTCCAATTTCCAATATGTTCTCACAGATAAAGGACTCAACTGAAAGGTCGAAATTCACATTACTTTTCGTAGTTTTTCGGTGTATAATATGCTGATTTATAAAATATTTCTTGAACTATACTGTTTTTAAATCTATTATACATCTTGAAATAAATAAGTAGGACAATCTTCAGGAAACAGAATGATGCCAGTAGTAAAAACATATACTAAAAACAACCATTAACTAGACAGGTACTTTTTCCCATACAGTTGTGCCTTCTTCTCAAAAGCAATGGATTTGATAGGTGTATCTTCTTCATAGAAGGGATTCATGGAATGTTTTATATAAGCCTCGTACATCTCTGAGAAAAAGTTTTTAATTCCATCATCGTTTCGGTTGTCGTGAACAATGACGAATCTGATCAAACTTGCCGTAACGAAAGCTGATACGAACCACTGGTTGAATTTGTCGACAGACTTCAGGTTCATGTTGTGGGTTTTCCATTTATGTTCGTCAATGAGGTCCAGAGCTGAATGAGCGATGAATTGATTCAAGTGGCGGTGATCTTCTTTCTGAAGAGAATAGCTTGTTAATCTAATTTTGAATTTCCCAAGACATTTTCAGTAATGAATAACTTTGGTTAGAAGTAACCCGATAAATATATGCAATACCTTAGGATCTTTACTATTGGTGAATTCCATTTCGAAAAGTGGTTTATCATTGTGGCCTACAATAACAAAGTAATACGTGCCGATCATTTTAGGAATTATCACAGAATTCCTGAAATTTTGAATGTTTGGTCGTGACTAAATGTACGTATCCGTAATTTTAATTCAATATTGAAATATTTTTTCTATATAGTGGTGTTTCCATCGGTGAAACTGATGCAAATTCAATGTAATTATATCCTTATTCAACCTATTGAGGAATAGAGGACAGAGAAATACCGAATGTTGTCAGTTTTACCAACGGGAAACACCGTCTATGGGATGGGCCTTCGTCTTATCCCTTTTAAAACTTTTTAAACCTTATTCACTACAAAAAACAATTATGACTCCAAATGGGCAACAGATACAATTGAGATAATTTAAAAGAACATATGCGTCACCAACAAAATACACGATAAAATATACACTTTCATATAGCGTCATTTTCCTTTACAAATATATAATAATATTTATTTCTTTGGTTGAAAAGTACAGTTGACAGGAATCAATGCACAATAAACAAAGGAAATGTCAATTATAAAAGTAAATGTAAAAATATATAAATGTAAATAACTTCATATAACCATTTTATAAAACTCAGTCCAAATAATATGTAACCATATCATAAGTCAGTCAAAATAATATAAACAACACAATAACACAAACAGTGATAAACATCCATAAGTAATAAAAGTAACATTTAAATGTAACAATAAAAGAAGTGAAGTGTTTCAAGTCAAAATCAATGATTACTCGTCAAAATTGGTGTATGGTATAGACGTGAAAAGTAAAGTAAGATCTTTTGTTAGGCAGTAAAATGAATACAAGGACGGAAGGTTGAATATTGTAGGATATAAATATGTTACTTGTAGGTACAATTGTAAGTTATAGTGGTACTTGTTATATAGTCCACACCGCACACAGAAAGCTAGGTTGGGTTCATGAAAGCTTAGCTTATCATTGTGGGCTTGGGGCTGATTTTTATTCAATGCATATAAAATTTACGAATCAAGCTAGCTTAAAGCCTAAGCTAGTCATGATGATACGGCTATCACTGGTCGCTCTTTCGTTATCTCTTTGTCTCATTCTACCCTTTCATAAAAAATTGAACTGGCAACCTTGTAACAGGTGTCATAACATAACTCAAAACTGTCAGATTGGCGAAAGATGATGGAGTAATAAATAAAGAAAATAAAATGACTTCCGTAAATTTATATCAATGTAGATTGTGCTTGAAACGCACCCCAACTAGAGTGAATATATACGGAGGAGATTTTCCCAAAATGTTAGAAGTATTAACCTCAATCAAGGTAAAAAATGGTTTACATGCACTTGTATGGGTTTTTTTTAAACTGTTTTTTTTTCAATTAAGGTACGAGAAAACGATGGTCTACCAAGGTATTCTTGTTCTAAATGTGCTCAAGAAGTTAAAACAGCTCTGCTAGTGAAAAAACGGATTGTCAAAGCTCACAAAACGCTCATGGAGGCTCTCAAAAATAAACAGAAATTATTTCTGAAGAAAGCAGCAGAAATCGGCGCAGTAGAGTCGGTTATCAATATCAGAGATCAGGAAAGAATACCAACAACAGTGGTTCAAAAATCTTTGGAGGAGACCCGGGAGAAAAACTCTAATTTGTCTGATGACAAGCAGGAACAGCTCCCGATAGAATTCGTTAATATAGCGGACGAAGAAATAAAGATAGAACAAGAAGAACTCATTGACAGCACAAATGATCCTTCTCCTATTCACCAAATCTTTACCAGAATGCAAGAGAAAAGTCTCGCATGTGAAATATGTAACTTGTCGTTTCTTGACAAACCCTCCTATAATTTGCACAATGCGAAACACAAGAAAACCAAATGCCACATTTGTAGCCGTATGATAAGATCCGACAACATAAAAAAACATATAATGCTGCACACTGCAGGTCCATCGGTATGCCAGATGTGTGGGGCTACTTGTAAGAACATCGAGAGCCTGCGAGGGCACATTTTCTATCAGCACAAAAGCTCGGCTGAACAGTATGTTTGCGAAGAATGCGGCCAAGGGTTCCGAATCAAATATAAGTTCCTGCTCCATAAGAAGAAGGCCCACATGGGTTTGCGAAACTTCAAATGTGAAACCTGTGGGAAGGGCTTCTTCACCAATGGAAATTTGATGACGCACGTGAGAATGACGCATGAGAAGTTGAGGCCCCATGTTTGTGAATTTTGTGGGACTGGCTTCTCATCGACTTATGCCTTGAAAACCCACAAGCGACAGCACACCAATGAAAAGCCTTATGTTTGTGACTTCTGCGAAGAAGGATTTCGTCAAAGAGTCTCTTTACGCTCTCACTTGAAATCTAAGCATGGCGTCGAGGAATCTAAAGCCTTTGTATGCAAAACATGTTCTAAGGGGTTCGCTACCAATTACGCTCTTAATGTCCACGAGAGGCTTCACATGTCTGAAAAGTGTGAAATTTGTTCAGAGACGTTTTCTGGGGAATACCTGAAAAACCACCTTAAAGAAGTTCATAATATCATTTTGTAATTTTGAATGATTTTTTTTTTACAAAATGTTGAAAAGTTGTATTAAATGTTATAATAATCATAATGTTTGTTTTATCAAAAAACTAATTTTATTTTCAAATTCACGATTTCGATTAATGTTCTATAAGTAGTAGAATTCAACTGATAGATAAGTTATAGTGTTTCACAATGAATAAAAACCAGATCTCGAATTGAAATTTTCCAAAGTAAACTCATTAAAGCTGCTGTATTGAATATTATCAAAAAAATATCTATAGAAAAGAGACAAATCCCCAACCTTTCTTCGATGTTCTAGACTATCAAAGTTGCAAGTGATATTCGTGTCTCCAGCCAGGCAGATGGCTCTGTTGTGGATAGAATCCAGAAGCTTCAGGGTATGCATACATAGTACAAAGTAAATATTTCAAAATGAAATCTAGAAACATTTTTCCCTACCAACTACATACACTGCAGATTATGTGAATGCTGCCCGAAAACAATTACTTTCCCAGCCAATACCTCGCTGGATATTGAATTATACTCGACAGACATTCATGCAAGATACCTTACAGAGGTGTCTCGCAGATATTTATCGTTCATCCAGCAGCAGGACCATGCTGAAATTATTCGAGTAGATTACCTACAGAATGGTTTCAAGGTATTATCTTTCAGCAGTGCAGGCTCGACTGCATGTATGAAACCTTCGTCCAAGAGAAAGATTGTTAACTAGTAACAGCTCCATCTCGTGAACAAAGTCCCAAGTATTTGGGAGAGATGAATGTTTCGAAATAACTTATATTCTAGTATTTAATTAAAAACAGCAACAATTGTTTGGTACTTGGTGGTGAGACGTCATTCTTTCTAACGGGTCGTTAAATCTGTCTTTTTATCTCGCTAACTAACCAGTTATTGTTTGGTCATCAGCGATGAATTGATTCAAGTGGCGGTGATCTTCTTTCTGAAGAGAATAGCTTGTTAATCTAATTTTGAATTTCCCAAGACATTTTCAGTAATGAATAAGAGAAAGATTGTTAACTAGTAACAGCTCCATCTCGTGAACAAAGTCCCAAGTATTTGGGAGAGATGAATGTTTCGAAATAACTTATATTCTAGTATTTAATTAAAAACAGCAACAATTGTTTGGTACTTGGTGGTGAGACGTCATTCTTTCTAACGGGTCGTTAAATCTGTCTTTTTATCTCGCTAACTAACCAGTTATTGTTTGGTCATCAATTAACAGAACTGTCAGCTGTCAGATTGGCGGCACAAAACACTAAAATTTCTGTAATCTGTGATCTGTGGTTGACGTAAAATGAAGGAGCTAAAGTGAAGAAGTATTGGCTAAATGCGCCTGATCGGAAGCAAGGGCCAACCAAACGGAGAGAGAAGTGAAGAAGTATAATAATAACAAAAATAAAGCAATTTAATTAAATAAATATGACTTCTTCCATAAATGTATATCAATGTAGATTGTGTTTAAAACGCACGCCAACTAGAGTGAATATATACAGAGGGGATTTCCCGAAAATGTTGGAGGTATTAACCTCAATCAAGGTAGAAAATGGTTTCAATTGAATTATCAACATTTTCAAATTATTTTTTTAGGTGCAAGAAAATGATGGTCTCCCAAGGTATTCCTGTTCTAAATGTGCTCAAGAGGTTAAAACCGCTTTGTTAGTCAAGAAACGGATTCTCAAAGCTCATAAAATACTCCAGGAGAGGATCCAAGCTAAACAGAAATCATTCCAGGAAAAAGCAGCGGATATAGGTGCAATAGAATCTGTTTTCTCTATCAGAGATCAAGAGATTATACCAAATACAAATACTTTTGTGCAGAAATCTTTTGTGGAGACCCAGGAGACAAACTTGAACTCGACCAACGACACCCAGGAACAGACCCCCATTGAATTCGTCAATATAGCTGATGAAGAGATCAAGATAGAACAAGAAGAACTCATCGACACTGCAAATGATTCTTGTTCTATTGGTAGAATGCAAGAAAATAGTCATGATGAATCCTTGAATAATTTTCACAAAGCTAAGTACAAGAAAACCAAGTGCCATATTTGTAGCCGCCTGATAAAATCCAACAACATAAAAAAACACATAAGACTGCACTCCGCAGGTCCTTCGGTATGCCAGATTTGTGGGGTAACTTGCAAAAACTTCGAGAGCCTGCGGGGACACATTTTCAATCAGCATAAAAGTTCACCGAAACAGTATGAGTGTAAAGAATGTGGCCAGGGGTTCCGATTCAAAGACAAACTTCGGCTCCACAAGAAGAAGGCGCACATGGGTTTGCGAAACTTCAAGTGTGAAACATGCGGGAAAGGATTCTTCACCTACGGGAATTTAATGACACACGTGCGAAAGATACATGAGAAATTGAAGCCTCACGTTTGTGAATTTTGTAAGACTGGCTTCTCATCAACGTACGCCTTGAAAACTCACAAGCGGCAGCATACCAATGAAAAGCCTTATGTTTGTTTCTTCTGCGAAGAAGGCTTTCGTCACAATGCTTCTTTAAGGCTTCACTTGAAACGTAAGCACGGTGTTGTAGAATCTAAAGGGTTTGTATGCAAAACATGTTCTAAGGGGTTCGCTACAAATTATGCCCTCAAAGTTCACGAGAGGTATCACATGTCTGAGAAGTGTGAGGTTTGTTCGGAGACATTTTCAGGGGAATACCTGAAAAACCACCTTAAAGAAGTTCATAATATCATTAAGAATGATCCAGCTGAGGATGAACATGTCACAAACTGAAAATTTTTAGACTTGATTCAAGTCATTCACAAATTTTTTGTGTGAAATTTCAAGTCCTTGAAAAGAAATACAAATTATGTGATTTATCTGAGAATGAAATAGACTATACTTATCCATAAAGAAAATAGTTGATGAATTGCTGAAAAGTGATAAGGAAAAATTATGACGGAGTCGTGTTTCACTACACAATAGCTTCTTCAGGCTTGTCTTTATTGCCTGAAGAAGGTATTGTATAGCGAAACACGTGTTGCGTTTTTGTAAAACTGTTTAGTTAAAATCTCGCAGTAGGGAAAAATGTTAACCGAGAAGGACTCTAGCATTTTCCCCAAATGGTGACATCAAGCAGAAAACAGTAGATCCATAATTTTAAACATGGTCATATTTATGTTCTCAGAGTGGTAGATGAAACTTCAACTTCTGTGTTGATATATTCCTTCCTTAGAATTTGTATTATTACATATATTAAAACGTTTCCTGCTGATATGAAGATCATATTAGAAATTTTATTGGTTCAAAATATTATTTTACTCGTAATTTTGGATGATTTATTTTTACAAAATGTTGAGAATTTGTATTAAATGTTGTGATAATCATATTGCTTGTCATTATCAATAAAGTAATTTATATTTTTAAGCTCATGATTTGGATGGATGTTCTACAAGTACTAGAATTTATCCTACAGAAAAGATACAGTGTTTTACATTGAAAAACCAGGTTAATGAGAGTGAACCTTTTCACTAACATTGAGATGACCGAATAGGTGAAAGCTACATATAAACAGTACCACAAGGTTCAAGTATTAAACAATTAATACTTTTTACAGTCTTTAGTTGTTAATTTCTTCAAAATCGCTTAACAAAGATAGACTACCAACATTTGATACAAAATTGACAACACCGTAAAACTTGGAATAGTAAACAATCTGTTTTCTGTCTATACGTGCGACATTGTTTTTGAGTTAATGGTTATGTCGTATTCATGTACTTTTTTCTGTTTTACAAATATCACAATATACATTTTGGAACATTATTTAGAAGAGGGAGTAAGTCTCATTGCAAGTGACCTCTTAGTATTTTTTGAAATTCGATTTTCTATCGAAATGGAATTAAACAGTATCGAACAGTCGTTTCCAAAAATTAATAGTTTCATTTCTGATTTATATTTTTCTTTTGCTCTATCACAAGCTCTCTGAAATGTAATAAAGTTCAAGGTCAATTATACGTTTTCCCGCGTTTTCATCTCTTTGGAATTTTATTACCATATACTGTGTCAGATTGGTAGAAATCAGTGACATTATAATATGGACTAACCATTGAAAAGAGAACAGTGAGTCCAACAACTAAAAAGAGATGAAGAGATTCATATCTTGGCATTTACATCACTCAGTCTCTCACGTCAAATACGTATGTTTTACGTGTTGCATATTTTAATTGTGAAAATTTTGGGATTTGATTTGTAATATTTTGCTGTCGGCAATACGTTGTGTGATCCACTGGTGGAACATAAGTAAAATTGACGTTACGGCCAGTCCATATTTATTTTCATGTATATGGTAGAAATGAGCGAATAAAATAAAGTAAAAGAATTAACTGAATATGACTTCTCTCATGAAAGTGTATCAATGTAGATTGTGTTTAAAATGCACACCAACTAGAGTGAATATATACGGAGGTGATTTTCCAAAAATGTTGGAAGCATTAACCTCGATCAAGGTATAACAAGTTAAGATTGAATTGTCAGAATTTACGAACCATTTATTTTAAGGTAGAGGAAAACCATGGCCTTCCAAGGTATTCCTGTTTTGAATGTGCCCAAGAGGTTAAAGCCATTCTATTGGTCAAAAAACGAATTCTCAAAGCTCATGAAACACTCTTGGAGTGTCTCAAAAATAAGCAGAAATTGCTGCAGTAGATATCACTGTCAAAGATCAGGAAATGATTCCAAATATCGTTGTTCAGAAATCTTTTGAGGAGACCCAGGAGCTGATTGAATTCGTTAATATAGTCAAAGAAGAAATCGAGATAAAACAGGAAGAACTCCTGTTTTATCCTTCTATTGACAGAATGAAAGAGAAGAGTTTCGCATGTCAAATTTGTAATTTGAAGTTTTTTGACA